GCAGCATTATATGAAGACATCCAGTCAGCATAATCCATTATGATGCCCCACAAAATGACAATAATGTCCAAATAGTGTGAATACTCTTCGCTCTCAAAGTAGCTAAATAAATAAAAAACTGTCCATTGTCCAATTATGTCGGGATTTGTTATACATAGTTTAGGTATAAAACGCTTTAGAAATACACAAAAAGGTCGACACTTACATTTGCGAAATCGAAAATCGACTCTGTTCGACTCTTCACCCCATGGTTCACTTACTGCATGAAGAGCTGGTTGTGGTGGTTGTAGGCCTGGAAGCAGTGCGGGCACACCCCATGGTTCACTTACTGCATGAAGAGCTGGTTGTGGTGGTTGTAGGCCTGGAAGCAGTGCGAGCACACCCCATGGTTCACTTACTGCATAAAGAGCTGGTTGTGGTGGTTGTAGGCCTGGAAGCAGTGCGAGCACACCTCGTTGACCAGTTTGATGAGCGACTGGAGCACGGCCGCATCGTCTCCGCTGGGGTCCAGCTGCTGCTGTTCACGCAGACGGCCGTACCTGGGCAAAAACATAAGCTTAATGTCGATCTTTGGTGTGGAACTATGATGTACCTCGACCGAAAAACTACCGTAAGCGTGGATGGTAATATTTCTAAAATACAGTGTGTCGCGAAAAAAAAATTGCCCGATTATTTTTACTAACTTTTTAACTTCTTTCGGGACACCCTGTAGATATCTGTCACATAAGGCATTTGTCGGGATGGGATCACTTACGTAGCAGCCTGGAGGACGATGCAGTTTGGTTGTCTATTATTTCCATTCGCACATGCTTTACCTCTGAGGTTAAAGTTAAAATTTACAAGTCGCTGCTGTCATCAAAACAATTGGGTAGGTTATAAAATGCAAACAATGCATGTAAATTACTTCTCTTCTCTTAAATTCGAAATGTCACTTAGGCTCAATTATTTTAAACGTTGATGATTCAAAACATCAAAGACGCAACATGTTTATGTGAGAATCTCCAGGTAAAAGCTCATTCTGTAACACTACTCACCATTCCACGCAGCCCTTTTTCACCGTCTGAATGATTTCGCTGCGAATTTCCTTCTGGAAAGGCAAGTACACGCCGGAAAATCTCCATCCCGGAGAACGCAGCCAGGAATCTGTTGAAAAGTATGATAATTAGCGGATTTAACCCTCGCCCGCACATGGGGGGGGGGGTGGGGTGGTTGCCACCCTCCCCCCCCCCAGGTAGTCTTTCTGCTCTGCACTCAACATTTTTAGAGCTAGAAGGCTGATTTTTCGTATAGCTGCTCCTCTATCCTTTCTTGATGTCCACTGAAAATTTCAAGTTTCTGTGATTTTTGGTTTCGGAGATATGACCTTGTTTTTCAGGTCATGTCATGACCCAAATGGCCAATTCTCAACATCTTGCGTTTGCCATGGGCCTTGCGAGCTTTTGACACCCTGATTTCGGCCTTTTTTGCCAGTCTTACCTCCCACCTATCATGGAACATGTTGTTCGACGATGTACAGGGGTCAAGGTCAGGGTCAAGGTCAACCTAGGTCATCTAAGATAATTGCGTTTTAGGCAAGCTGAATTTACTTTTTGTGAATTTTTTTGACTGCATTTTTGGTAAAAGCTTCTCAGATCATGATTTCATGTAATATGGACACATAAACAATCGGTGCACACATCAGTATACACACAGACACACACAGACATACAAACATATATAATTGACCTTGACCTAACTTGACTTGAAATGACCTCAGCCGCAAAATTCTGGTCTGGTAGTGTGACAAAGAGATTCTAGCTGGCTTGGCACCAGAAAACAGCATCGTCATCGGTATTTGATAAGCAGCGCACTTGATATCCAACGGTGACCAAAACAGCAACATTTTTTAGTTTGACCTGACCTGGAAGGTCAATGACTGACCTGAGAAGGTAAAACTGGGTATCATTGGATTCGTCTCTTCCCAAAGAATCTTTTTGGTCTTTACCGCTAAGCTCTATCTCCAACAGGAACGAAATGGCGCGGGGGGGGGGTGGCAACCACCCCCCCATGTGCGTTCTAGGATGGGAAAATGGCATGTGCGGGCGAGGGTTAACACGTCAAAAATACTCAAAAATACTCGGGACACACTCAATTATAATCATCTAGCATCACTTTCTTCAGCAGTTGAGCTCAAAAGCTACCTCGTTAGGCGGCACGGGCGGAACTCGATAGCAGCGCCTCTATCGGTCACTAGGGAAAGCTTTGCTGTAGGCGACGAAATACCGGCTGAGTTGTCACACGTTGAATAGGTTTATAGACATCCGTCTTGTGAAAAAGTTGAACTTTTGCCTTCAATATTTCTACAGGCAATTTTAGAAGTGTCTTCACATAGATTACAAAACCATTTAGATTATTCTATTCACTTCAAGCCTTTCCTATTGTTCTTGACGAGATGCGGGAACTATTTCTAATTAGTGTTTCTAGCTTAGTAAAAGAACATATTATGCAAACGATGAAAGAAGCATAAATGGAAGATTTTATATGCAATTTTCTCTAACAATTAATGGTAAATTATCTACATATCAAGGAAAAGATGCATGCTAACTGATAATTTAAAGTTCTTGGGGCCAGTTGTTTTCCTCTTTTCTTACGTCGCCCCAATGGCCGCGAATACACTAGTGATAACGCCTATCGTTGAACGTCAGTCTCTCTTTCTGAAATTACATAATTAAATCAGCCAGCCTGCACAGCTGAGTGAATTTTTCGACGGCCGTCTCAGAATGGGACTCCCACGCAGACACGGTCACCTTCCATCTCGCATTTTCCGCCTCCTCAATCAAAGTCTCAAGCAGTCACTAAGGACTCTCCAAACCTCTCTAAAGCGTGGTTTCTAAGGTAAACTCAGGAAAATGAATAAAATCAGTTTTGAGACGAAAAATAAAGCACAAAGTTGATCAATAAGCTTCAGTGTGAGCACTACACATGAAAAGCATACCATAGAATAAATATAATTATTTAAAACGTCCATTACAAATGACGTTATGCCATTAGGTTCTCATTTGACATTTTTTAGATGCTTCTATCGTGCCGCTGGTCTCATGATTGGTTTTAATATCCATGGGTGGAGAACCTGCCCCGGCCACCCCGGCCGTGGCCGGGGTAACTTTCAGCCGACCCCGGCGCGGCCGGGGTAACTTTTTCCACTTTTGCAAATCCTGAAAGCTGTCTCCATACGAAAAAACTGCCATCTATAAAAGCGTCTCTCATTATTCTTATCTACCTTGAAAAGTTATTGAAAATTTACTTTATTATTTTCATTTTGGAGCTTCTATGGTTTTAAGTTTTTTCATCGCAGAGCCCGACATGTTTCATCAAACAGAAGTAGGTAGGTAGGTAAATCATATTTCAGGTGCGAGCTCAAATCAATAAGAGGGTCAAAACGGTCAAATTTGACATTTTGTTTTGTGTGGGAAGTTTGCAACTTCCACGGAATAAGCTTTGCAAAGGGCATTAGCACGATCATCCAGCAAATTTGACCTGATGACCTGACCTAGCACTAGGTGACATGCGTCCGAAATTTTAAGGCGTGTTGCAAAATTGTTGTTACAATTACGAAATCTTCCGCACCTGCGTGCAGCAGTTTTCCCTAAAAACGTACAAACGGCAGACATCCTAGGGGTTTGTTGATAACCGTTGACAAATATTTGAGCATCATCGTCTTTCTGACTTTCGGTCGCCGGCCGGGGTAACTTTTTCAAACATTCTCCACCCGTGTTAATATCATTACAAACATTACAAATGCCAGTGCATCTATGTCGTCACAAACAGAAGCTCTTAAAATGCACTAGCAACTCTACGCCGAACAAAGTCTCCCTGAAACCCCACAAAGTATCGTGCCTAACCGCCAACACACTTTGCAGTAACCGGACCAGTCTGGTTGTGGTAAAAATATACTAACGTATGCATTGGTTTGCAACAATGATTGTTGAGGACAGAGACATACTAAAGGAACGGGTATTGCACTATTTGACAAACTTCCGGCGTGTTGCGGATAACAAAGCACAAATGGCGCACTGAAGCTGCAACAGTACAGCAACTGCATTACATGCAAATGTTTACCATTACATCAAGAAATAGTTCAAGCTAGTGAATATACGTGCAACTCAAAGCATGCTACCTGGTTGGTAGTATTTGCTTTCTGAGCCGGGTATATTCTCTCTGTTCTATGCGAGAATATTCAACTAAGGCGACTTATGTATCGTTACCAGTCATTTTCAGAGTTCTCCTTATCCCGTGCTTCGATGCACCAGCAATTACGTGAGGTCTTAAGTAATTAGGCCCAAACAAAAATGAGCATGAACTATTACTTTGCCCTTCTTTGCCCCAAACAATCAACGCGAGTAAGAACACGTTGCTGAAGTGAACAACCAAACAGCCTAACTCTGCCGCAGGTAGGTTACTAGGTACAGTTTACATTAGGTAAGTGACCCGGGGAAAAACTCACTTGAGCAGGCTGTCGAGCTTCCTGTGAGCTTCCTTGTTTCCGGCCGGGAACAGCTTCCTCAGTTTTCTCAGCACGGCGAAGCAGTGTGCCAGTGTCGTTTTGAACGACTCCGCCAGCGACTCTTGCTGAAAATGCACAAACACGGAAGTACAGTAAGATGATTGTCAGCGACACCCTTGCACAGTTCCGTCTCAGTTTCCAGTTTCAATTTACCGCGAGTTAAACTATCCCGTACGCTCTTCAGCAGCACTCAGCAGCAAATCATAGCAAACATCAGCACCTGAAAAACATTTCATTGCGCATTGGAGCTTGACCATAGTTGTTGATAACCATAATGATCCGCCTATCCAGATCGATTCCTACAGTTATTCTACATTTTCTACACGTTGTTCTATTCCCTTGAATTCCATGCATTTTAACTCGCTGTATCCTTTTCCTCTGTCTCTCCTCTCTGTCTTTTCTATCTCTCCTTCACTCTTCTCTCTCTCTCTCTCTCTCTCTCTCTCTCTCTCTCTCTCTCTCTCTGTCTCTCTCTCTCTCTCTCTCTCTCCCTCCCTCCCTCTCTCTCCCTCTCTCTCTCTCTCACTCTCTCTCTCTCCCTCTCCCTCTCCCTCTCTCTCTCTCTCTCTCTCTCTCTCTCTCATCACACCACTCTCCCCATTATCGTCCTGCCTTACCTCTTCATATGTGAGCGCGTCCTGTGTGAATTTGTCGTTGAGCTGTTTGAGGATCTTGAGCAGCAGGCGGTAGTCGAGGGAGGTTTCCTGATGCTGCTCGGCGTAGGCGATCCAGCGACAGACCTACACAGAGGAGGGGGGGGGGGCGGGGGGAGAAACGGACTAAACTCAGTTTTACAGGGTACAGGCGCAGGAGAGATCGACTTAGATGCTGGGAATGATAATGAGATAGCAACGTCAGTAAGTGTGACATGATGGGCTTGGTGAAGAGTTGGAAATTGATCATGTATTAAGGCATTTGAGAGCATTATGACCAAGGCATTTTTGCCTGTTTACGTAGGTACAAAAGAAAAAGGGAGCAAGACAAGAAGACGCAAGGCCCATCCTCGTCCACCGCCGACTCGCACCGCTTGATTTAGCTTGGTAAAATCGCTTAGTAAGAAAGGAAGAAGAGAAGTAGATCAGGAAAGTAAATTCCACCGGCACACAGTCTACCCGCCGTCTGCCTATAGCTCTCACCGCCTGTTGCAGCTCGGTGAGGTCACCCTGGACGGCGTGCTGGTGGAGTATGGTGGTGGCCGGGGTGGGCAGCTCACCGCTCCACCGGTACGACGGGCCCTGCCGGAAATGATCGGGGGTCTGGTGGTCTAATTTAGGGAAACAGAATGGGTATCTGCCTAGCGTTATATGAATGGGGAACACCCACTACTCGTTGAATAGCGACAGTGCTATGTTTGGTAAGTGTCATATTGCGTAAGTTGAATATGGGTAGCCAAAAATAACACCAAACTCTGCGCTTAAAAGTTAACAAATTATGCATCTGAGAGACATTTTCAATTTGCAGATAATTACCAACCAAAAAGATCATTGCTGATTTGCCTGTGAAAAATTAGTCTGAAACGCAATTTTCCCCAAATAAATCCCAAAACATCTCATCTTACTCTGTACTTGGACAGTTCGTGTTTGACGAACAGTTCGAAGAGTTTCTGCTGCTGGATGACTTCTGACCAAGTGTCCTCCTCCGAAACACCCCTGTGGACAGCGAAAAGAGACCGTCAGGGCCTGAGATGCCCCCATGAGAAGTGAATAGAGACTGATAGAGACAGACGCAACCCTGAAGGTAAAAAAGAGACCGTCAGAGAGCAGGGACCGTCAGATATGAAGACACCCTTGAGGACAGAGAAGGATGTATACCGTCAGTGACTAAAGAAATCCATGACAAGAGGCTGCCAAAGACGGACACACCAGGGTATATTGAATCAAGGGAGACACCCTTGTTGAGAGAGACTTTCGGAAATTCATTAGCAGTTTCGGGTCGGCGGGGACTGAAAGTATGTAGTGAACGGCGTATATTGGGTTCTAAACACAACTGCCGATAAGTTTCGCTTCACTGAAACACGCTGACCGGCATTTTTCTTCACAAACTTCCTATAGATTTCCCAACTTCTTGGCTCGGTAGAGTGCACGGTTTTTTAATGGCGGGTGGTGCCAAAGTTACCTAATTAGAGATCCCCAACGACGTTTGCTCGTTACGGAAATTGAACGAATGGAAATTATCTATTAGAAGTGTGAATACTGCATGAAGACAAGAGCACAAATCAGTTATCAGTTTAACCCTAGAACGCCTAGGGGGGGTTGTATCAACCCCCCCCCTGAGGTTTTTTCGAAGTGCACGCTAAACGGCTTGTCGTAGCGGGCTGAAATTTTCAATACCCTCTGGGGCAACCTTTGCGCATCTTTTGCCGAAAAAAAATTGATCGGGTCATGTCAGGTCACGGAGTTATGACGTCATAAGAGGTACAGCCTCCGGCCGACAGTTACCAAACGTGTGCGCCGAATCCCTAGATTTTCTGCCGGTGATACCCACATTGTTTGATAGATCATGATGAAACTTCCCAAGCATGTTGGGGCAAGCATTGGCTATCGTGTGGTGCAAGAAAATTGACCGGGTCAGGTCAGGTCACGGAGCTATGACGTCACAAGAGGAACAGCGTCCGGTACTATTTTTGAAAAGCGCCCGAACCACTATTTTGCTAATTCTTGTCACCTCAATGGGAATATGCAGCAATATTAGCTTCTATAGGGAGCAAATGGACCTCCCAAATCCAAAAATACAATCAGATTTCAAAAATTTAAATTTTGATTTTTCGAATTTCTGCCGCCGACTGTGACCTTGCCGACTTCCGGCGCTCCCAACGCGCCATTTTTAGGGCTAGGGAAACGAAATACATACCAAACGATAGAGAATTGATCAAGGAACACGATAGTGAAGGTTTCAAGTCGATATCTCCCACCGTTTTGCCGCAATCGCCGCGGAAAGTTGAAAAAGTTTGATTTTTTCGAAAAATTTGACCTTTGACCGGTCATAAGTAGGTCAAATGTTGACCTAGGACCAAAAATATACCACCAATCACGAGATCTCGTTGAGAGCAATCCGTTGTTTTTTTCCGCTAAGCTCTACGACCTTCCGTTTCGAAACGCCAGGGGGGGGTCGTAACAACCCCCCCCCCCCCTGGTCGTTCGTGTTATGAGAAATGGCCTGGTCGTGCGAGGGTTAATAGCCTGCGTAGACAACTCTACGACCTATTAGTTAAAGGGAGATAATGAGCTTTCTTTTTTCTTTAATAAAAATTACTCGACATCTATACTATTTCTACTGTAGTTTCTATAAAATATGAAAATTTCCTAGCACATTTTCGTATGTGAAAAAGGTTTTTATTTTTGCAAAAAAGAAGCAGTACTTGCAGTACTTGTAACACCCACCGAAATGCGTTGTCCTTCTTGTCCTTCTCTATAAAAAAGTCGCAGTATATGGCGCTTTTGTTTCAAACAGCGACGCTTGGGTTTTTGTTTATTTTATCGCCTTGTCGTTGCTTGGTTGTAAGGATTCTAATTTGAATTAGAGTTAATTCGGTTTAGAATTAATTAGATTCGTACATAGTGCCTACTCTTCTTTGTTTCCAAGTATTATTTTGCGCCACAAATGAACGGCATGCGCCAGAAACGCAGCCAAATCTTGCGATTGCGACTACGAAATTCATTATTTTGGCCTCAGAGCCTGAAGCGAAAAATACAAGCATATTTATTTCAAAAAGACTTCAGGTTTGTCGAACGGTGTTATGAGAATTTTGATAACAGTACTGCATAAGTTTTTCAGTGATGCCGCAAAAGTGTTGTATCTATCTTCTTTTATTGTGCAGTCGGCGGGACCGATTCAAAATTGAGTCGTTGCTACTAAAATAGCAGCATATGGCCTCAGATGATGAACAGGAAAAATAGTTGCGTAAATTTAGACATAAACCACCCCCAAACCATGAATATCTTTTGAAGGCACTAAAGACGACCATTAACTAACTAGATGTGATGAAGATCAAATGTAAGGAATACGCTCATTTTACAAAATTACATGCAAGTACCAAAAAGTGATGTAAGTACTTATTCAACGGTCATTTTCAGCGCTCCCCGCTAACGTGACTTCAAGTTGAGATATTTGCGGCAAGGTACCGCATTGAGCAAAATGGTTTTAATTTACATTATAACTTGGTGTGTTTTGTCAGAAAATGATCCTAACTCAGATTTTGTGGAAAAAGGTCATTATCTCCCTTTAACCCGCGCATGACTGGGGTATTTTCCATAACACGAGTGACTGGGGGGGGGGGGGGGCTCTCCAGAGCCCCCCTCCTATCTCCGAGACTACTAGGCCGATCATCAAAATTCAAACGGCGTCTGATAGCCCTGGAAAAACTGTCGAGCGAAACCTATTTTCATTGACCTTGAGGTCACCGATGACGTCACAGGTCAGGTCAAAGTAAAAATTATCGATATTTTTGCTAGTTCACAATTTAGGCTCTGACCACCGGACGGCGAGTCCGATCAGGCTCATTTTTGGTTTACGCACTCCTTGACAGATGCCTTAGATACCCTGCGGGTACCGAACTTTTACTTCCAATTTTTAAGGTCAAGGCCAGGTCATCCTAGGTCACGAAAATTGTATATCATGTATTGGTCACGTGACGCATGTTTTATGGTCCATTTTACTCGTAGATTTCGAAAATAGTGTCGTCTGTGTCATTTGAGGTCATTGTCAGCTGAATTTACCGGAGGTCAGGTCACTTTCAGGTCAGAAAATGTCAAATTTTGAAAATGAAATTTTCAACAAAAAAGGTGCATCTTAGATGCAGTTTGAGCTCAGGAACACGACGGTGCCATTTATATTGCTGTACGACGTCAAAAACGTACCGAAAAATAAACTTGAAAAAACATAAAATTGTAAAAGTTTGACAAAAATGCGAATAACTTGGCTATTTTTGAAGATATTGGGCTAAAACTTGCAAATGTAGTTCATCAGTGTGTGTTCTATCACATGTATTCCGGTTTTTGCGAAAAGTAAAAAAAAATCGAAAAAAATATTTTTTTTTGTAATTGTAAATACATATTTTCCAAATTTTTAAAATGTCGAAAATTCGAGATAGCAGTTTGATAGCTACGTGTATTTGTAGTCCACTCATGCAAAGAAAATGGATCTAGCTTTAAAACTGAGCTCTTGAGAGCGTTTGCCGTAATTCAGTATTTTGCATGAAAATCGGCCGACATGACGTCACTCTGACGTCATTTTCGGTCTAACTATGGAAGCTAGAAAGTTGAAATTTTAACAGAAGGTGTCAAATAAATGCCTTTGAAGGTACCGCAAGTTTCGTGTTGATCCGTCAAACGGTTTAGAAGATATTGCTGAAAAACGGCAGGGGGGCTCTGTAGAACCCCCCCCCCAGTCATGCGCCGGTTAACCTTCGCCCCAGTGGGGGGGGGGGGCATATGTTACCACCCTGTCGCATTTTTTTTGCGTGTGAGCTTTTTGTACATCAATTTTGGACAATGTGTGAAATTTTTGACCCCAGGTCATGTCAGGTCAGGTCACCAGGTCAAGTTAACTGACCAAGCCTAAAAAGGTTTGCAATCATGTCCAGCCTGCAGTGTTAGTCAAACTTGGTGGATTGCATGATGTTATGGGCGACTACAATTTGTATATCTCGGATTTTTTTTTATATCCGTGACCTAAGGTCAGGTCAGTGGCGTGACCTTACGATTATAAGTCAATGGAGAAAAATGAAATTGGCCTCTACATCCATGTGTACGCATAGGAATAGTCCAAATATTTCAGAATCACAATGATTTGGGCCACCCGTGACGACCAAGGTGTCTTTTTTGCTGATAGCCTCTAGAAAGGTCATCCGAGGTCATTTCAGGCTACAAACATATTTTTGCCAATAACTCTCGATTGGAAAGAGATAGGACGCTGGGGATGGCCTCATTGTGTTTGTCTTGTTGAGCCGCATCCAATGATATGAAACATGACCTTTTCAGGACAGGACCTTGACCTGAGGCCAAATTTTCAAGTTGACCTGTCAAGGCCAAATTATAGTTCATTCGACGCGTCTCGGCGAGAAGAACACGATTCTGGCAATAGATTTGTCGTGGCTGTTTTTAGTCAAAAGTTATCGTCGAAAACACTTTTCGTAAAAACAGCTATTTTTGGAGTTTTTGCCCTCTGGAGGCTAAACCGTTGACCTAAGGTCAATTTTGATTATGTCCTTATCAAAAGAAGAGTTCTAAAGCTATCGATTGCTATTCCATGCGTTTTTCTAGCTATCATAGTTCCTGAGATAAATGCATGTTTTCTGAGAAATATAATGACATTTGGCAAATTTTGACTTTTGATGACCTCCAGTTACCCCAATATTGCTCTAAGATGAAAAATGACGGAGATAATTTCAAACGTACGCATTGAGAGCTATCGACTGCTTTTTACCGCGTCTTTCTATCCCTCTTAGTTTTTGAGTTAGAGGTGGGTGGTAACATATGCCCCCCCCCCCCCCCAATAGGGCGAAGTTGGCTGAGACCGCCACTGGGGCGCGGGTTAAGTTGAAGGCAGAGCAGTGCACGCATCCTTGTGCCATAGATATTTGATGCTTTGCATGGAAGCTAGATAAAAAATATAAGAACTATACGTGCGAATGTGGCATATCAAACTGATGGGCCTGGGAAGACTGCCATTGCCGGTCTATAATCACCCGATGTCCGTTATATGAGCGCTCGTTGCCACCTACCTGTCCTCGCGAGTGGAGAGCCACATTTTCAGCCTGATGCGTCCCTGGACGGCCGATTTGGAGGTGCGTCCCTCCAGGGTGAACCACTGGTCTAGACCGGTCGAGGGGATGTCCTGCAAACGAGGGTCGGGGCTCAAACTATCGCTGCGATCCTATGTCATGTCATTATATAAGACCAGACAGCGAGTTGTGTATCACATGAGCCAGTGCTAATGAAATCGACCTATAGACTGAACATTTTACACTGAAAGAATGCAGGAGTGTTGCGAAATGCCACTCCCACCGGTTGCCTAAATCAATCCTTGTTTGTCAGTAAAGCTATGAAAACCCAAAAACGCGATGATAAGCGCTGATTACAGGCATCGTTTTCTTTTCAGCGACATTTCACCAATATTACATACGAGCAGGTTTTATCAGCCGGTAATTATGACCAACCAAAGTCCAAACCATCGGAAAGAAAGGCCCAACAACAAGACTGAAATAATATCCTTGCCGCAGCTCTGCCTCATTCCCGCCTCTCTCAAGAACATTTCAGCCTCATCAAGGTCCTCGTGTTATAAAAATGACCGCGCTCACCGGTGATTTGACATCAGTCAGCCCCCTTTAACAAGCTCCAGTGGCGCTAAACGAGCCGACGCAGTCAGCCAGACCGCACGGTGAATAGTTAACGTCGCCGAACGACCACTAAAGTAATGGCGACAGATCGCGAAAGGTCGCCCAACGGATAAAAATACCGCCCGAACAACGCTCAGGCGAATGTTAAGAGCAATCTCCGCGGCCAAATCTCATTTCGGTAGAACGATAACAGAAATAGGACGGAGATATCTCGGTGGAATTGATACCGTGATTTGAAATTGATGCTGGGACCTGTTGATCTCCTGATGTTGAAATCAATTCGGTGAAGGCCGTTGTGTATTTACAGTGGCCAGTCGGATGTTTGCACCAACTTTTTTCAAACTTCCCCTATCAAATTTTAGTTGCAATAGCCAGGCTGTCAGCATTTTGGAAGTCAAAAACATTCGGGAACAGAACAATCACAAAACCACTAAAACATGGCTGCAAATAGAACAGTTACGAAACCTCAAAAACATTGCAACAATCCATGGCTCTTTGGTGCGGGAAGGTATGCATTATCAAACTCAACAGTTGTACAATAACGGTGCAAGCTAATTTATAATGTAGTCCCTTCTATCATCATCAACTGATGACGATACCGCCATTGAAGATCCTCCCATACCAAGAATTTCGCAGCCCTGGAGCTCCCCTGTCATGTCTGAACAACATCTACTGACAAATACAATGCAGTCCCCATGCCGTACCTGCAGACTGATGTTGACACAGCCGAGGAAGTCATCCTGACCCCCCGACCCGGAGCGGGCCGACTGCGCCACCTGTTTGAAGAAGCGCGCCATGCCGCGCACACCTTTGACCTCATTCAGCTTGCTGACCGCGTCCAGAACGGACGTCTCGTCATCGTGGTCCCTGAGGATGTCGAGGGAGTAGTTAGATGTAAGAAGAGTGGGTGACGGCAGCATACTCTCTCTTTTCCCTGTCTTTTCTTTATCTTTTCATCTCTCTTCTTTCTATTTTTCTTTGCTCTTTCTCTTCTCTTTTCCTCCATCGTCTTTCTATTTTTCTTTGCTCTTTCTCTTCCCTTTCCCTCCCTCGTCTTTCTATTTCTTTGCTCTTTCTCTCCTCTTTTCCTCTCTTTCTCTCTCTTTCTTTCTCTCTCTCTCTCCCTCTCTCTCTCCCTCTCTCTCTCTCTCTCTCTCTCTCTCTCTCTCTCTCTCTCTCTCTCTCTCTCTCTCTCTCTCTATTTTCCCTGGTCTTTTACAATTTGCACACATTTTACAATCAATCTCTCTATCGCCAAGACACATTCATTCGTTCATCCATTCAATGATTCATTTATTCATGTGAATTTCACTTGATGGCTCTCGTTATTTTCCTGAAAACTGCTTTTTATGTATAAGTCTCCTCTCAAAAGGTGCCTGTAATTTAGTTCCGTAATCACTATACCTGCATACAATTTCGGGAAAATACCGACCAATATACCTACCATCCAGGTTTTCTAGGCTCAGGATTCATCAAACGACATGAAAATAAGTTTATGAATGCTGAAATTGGTATTGTTCTTTGATCTCTAGCATCAAAAGTCAAAACTGTCCTTCAAAGCACTGGCAAAGTTATTCATCTAATTTCATTTCCGGTGCAGCGAATTCCAGCCGCGCACCTTAAAAGAGCCCTTTGACTGTTGCCTCGCTCTGTTTAATTCGTACGCCTTCGTCCGGTGTCAGAAGTTGTGTGAAAACTTCCAGCGCAAATTAAACACCTGTGGTGTCGGCCTACAGGGCAGCCTGATTTGATGGCGGCACTTCAAAAGACGTCGTCCAAGTCAGAATGACAATCACAAGTTCAAGGGGCTGCTGAATCCCAATTCTTAATTAATTATGCTGGTAAATTACCACATTCTGAATCATGGTGACACGCAAACACTGAGTCTTTTTACGGAGCTGATTGGTCACTGACGCTGCAATAGCTACTAATCAATGTTGGCTCTGATGGCACATTTATTTGAGCTACAAATTCACAGGCAACTCAAACAAGAAAAAGATCCATCAGCTCTTACCAAATGTCTAGATGAAGCACGTCGGAAGAGACGTCGTCGATGTCCCTGAAACAGCAGAATTGAATTGCGTCTCTAAAATGCAAAATAGAAGATGACGAGGCACATGTATCAGAGGTTATGTCAGATGCTTAATAACAATCGTAATGGAAATATCAAAAGCAGTGTAACCTTAAAAACGTAAGCATGAATGTTACGCACAAAAACATGCTAAAGTACTCGTAGAAAGAAAATACAGAAGCTCTGAGGCATGCCGTCATAAAAAGCAATTGTCGTCTCTCACTCTTCTGCATCAACGCTTAGTATGCTGTCAACGCTGCCGCCATCAACCTTGCTAGGGGCACAACCTGCTTCATGTTCAAGCCTACTCAATTTTCACTCCCTACCTCCCTCCTTCCTTATTTCCCCTCCTCTCACTCACAGTCGGAATTTCTCCTCCCAGCGCGGATCCAGTGTGTTGGGTTTGACGGTGGTCGCTCTGATGAATTTAGCCGGCACCGCGTGACTCAGGCTGTCCCGGTGTCCCTCCCTGCCGCAGCCGCCGCCGCCGCCGCCCGATCCTGCCGATGACGGTGACGACACGACCGAAGGACGGGACTCGGGCTTCCGCTTGAAGCTCAGACGAAAGCTACAGGACAGGGTGAGAGACGTAGACAGGCGCGCGGTTAGTTACCGTACAGCACGCGTCCAGCTTGGTTAGAGATGGTTGTCGATTGTCAGCTTTATCTAATTATTACACGTTTTGTGAGGCTTACCAACACAACCAGTCGATAACTAAGACATAACCAGTCAAATGATGCAACAATGTGAACTTAACCACCAATGAACTTTGACCAAACAACCAGCTTCACCTTACGACCTACGTCTATTCTGTATTACTAAGACAACTTTTTATGACACATTTAGCCTTTTAGAGCTTTTTTATAATGTGCCATATTGTGTGTGTATATTTCAGCTCTGACCTGTGGTGTTTCCTCAGTTTGTCGGCGTGTGTGTTGAGCTGCCGCTCCTCCCCGTCTTCCTCTGCTGGAGGCGCGTGAGACGACCGGCTGACCCGCGGAGACCCAGGCGGGGTGGACCGGTCACCTCCCGACACGGCGCCGGGCACGATACCCAGCATACAGTACGGGTCACTGAACCCTGCCACCGTAGAGGTCATAGAGATCAGCAAAGGTCAACAAGGAGTCACAGAGGACACCTACAGGGGTCAATAGGGGACCCAGCATACAGTAGGGTTCGCTGCATCCTGTCGCGCACAGGGCACAGAGGTCAGCAGGGTCACCTAAACTCTGCCGTGCATAAAGGTCACAGGAGTTAGCAGAGGTCAACATCGGCAGGTCAGTAGGGGACCCGGCATACAGCAGAGGGCACTGAAGCATTCCGTCGGACACGTCATAAAGGGAATACTATAGAACTTAGAAGACACCGGAAGGAAAGGCCACAGGGGCTACACGGGGTCAGCAAAAGGTCTTGAAAGGTTATCTGAGGTCAAAGAATATCACATGCAACAAGGCGGGTTAAGTGATGATGAAGCGCTACACGCGACAGTAGTAGTACTACGACTAGGACACCAACCTGTCAGCGTAATCGGCTTTGGGTGCCCCGGATACAACTGAAATCCGCCAATGATCCTGGGATGAGACTCTTGCTCTACTCCTAACAAGGGTTATCTAAACTTTATTTTCATTATCACACGACTGCCTCCTCCCAATATCTCTTCAAATCCTCCTGGGCTCCCGAACACATTTCGATTGTCTGAAGTCTGATCACATGCCAGACACCCAGACAAAGAGCTACCTTCGAAAAAGGGCTGTCAGGCCCATTCGCCAGCGTCCACGGCGAATGGAAGAATCAGCCGGCGAAAAGCTCTCTTCGTGCTGCGAGTGTTCGTGCAAATTCAAAAGAGTATTTGCCGAAAGTTCGTGTCCAGAGTACGAGTATAGTTGATACTATACCGCAGAAAAATGATCCAGCTGATTTTGAAATATATGGTTGGATAGTTAGCTGCCAATAGCCAATCAATAGGCAATGCATTCTTTGTGTTCAAGGCGATGAACTGTGAGGATGACACTCTTCCATACATCATTGCAGGTGCCCTCTTTATGGGATATTAACTAAACGTAAACGATCAAGATCAGTCTGGCATTATTGACAGTAGGTATGAAAACATCCCCAATGAACAAAAGTAACTGGCGCAATGGACGTTGTACATGAGAACATGCCCAATCTTCAAAAGACAGCCTTTTTATTCAGTCATTCTGTAGATATATCACATTGAGCAATTATACCCCATGGGATACAGAGACAGAAAAAAAAAACTGAGTAACAAAATAAAATCACCAACTTGTTGCATGGCTATAGCGCCACCATATCTCCGTTCCAATTTGCTCCCATTTGTTCCCACTTGTTAGCGCCTTAGCTTGCGAGCCGATAGATTGTTAATTGGTATACACTCCATTACAGGCGAGAATTGGCGCCCAAACAGCCATTAAACGGTCGGGGTGGGCTGGTAGTGGTCAGGTAAATGAGATGAATGAGAATGCGCTGCCGCGTTAGCTGCTGAGTGAGCGGTCGGAGGGGAATCTAGAGAGCAAACAGTTGTCGACGAAATTGGCCATATGAGAAGTTTCAAAGGATAATAAGCTCAAAATTTCAACATCTCTTAAACCGACCTTGACAGCTAGGAACTTAAGTGATGTCAGCCAACCGTATTCGTGATATTGTAGCGTGACTTTAATTGAGAGAAAAAAAACATCTGCTGCTGACCTGCAACAAGCAACTCATTTTGTTGATCTACTTATGTGCTGATATATGACCAAAATAGGAAGTTCTTTGTCAATCTATTACAGCCCCATTTCAAGGCACATAGCATCAACATCTTTGACCTGTATGACTGTAACCATGCTGTAACCAAGCAAAATGACAATGTACTCTCATATAACCAAGCACACACATTAGATTGACCAAGATCCTCCTATAAGATCCTCCTATATTATATAGGATAGGATATATAGTCAGGATTGCCAATCGTGATAGTATATATTGTATAGTTTAAATAGGATTGCCCGTACCCTCTCTTCTATCCAACCTAGCCCGTGTCGGAATGATTCAATCGGCGTGGGTTAGCACAGGTGCATACGAAGGCCGGGTGACACATACATCTGTGGTGGTTAGTGGTTATTGCTCGAATGTACGCACATCTGCGCTCAAGGAGACACATTCAGTCTCATACACATTCATGGGGAGTTTCGCCAATCACCGTTGATAGAATGCAGATTTAGATTGGATTTCAGGCGCAGCTGTAAAGACTAGCACTGTATTGGCAGTGGATGACTTCCTGCCGCCAGGGTTTTGCTATTAGTGTCTGCAGCTTGATAAACTAAATTTCATCACGAAAGATTACCATTGAGTATGACAAGCTGCTTAGACGCATATTTTAGATGACAACACGATGTCATCAGATTTCATTTAACCCAAATGTTATGCAGAGGCTTGAGTAATTAAACATTTAAAAGATTGTTTGGTACATTTTCAGGATTTCAAAATAGATAAGTTGATACCAAATCCATGTCTTATAGTTAAAAATTCACTAGAATGAAGGTGGTAAAACCACGCCCGCGTCACAAGCATCTAATCAATGAGCCTGTGACAGGTGTGACCCTTACGTAAGTCGGCTATCACACCTATCCCAATTGGACAGCGTCTCTTGGCGCTGCTCGTGATTGGCCGGTGTTTTCAAAGCACTCAGCCGTGGCACCTTGTTTGCGTTTGATCAAGGGAAGAGTGGAAGGGATAGCTAAGCACCGCCAATCCCCCCCCCCCCCGATCACGGACGGGATGAGTCAGGGGCGTGTTAGCGGGTGACGGTAATCGGCGAAGGCTTGTCTTTCCAGGCATCTGATCAGGCAACTGCGGCGCTTAGATTCTAGGAAAATACATGAGAAGTGATCGCAGCAATGCCTTCCTCAAGCTGCGATTGTAGCTGGCAAAATGAACTGGAATTGAAGGGAGCATTGCTGTAGTAAATGTCAATGTTCAATGAAGATCACGGTATCTGCCCAGTCCATTACGCTCCAGTAGTGGTTACAAAACCTCCTAGCCACTTATCTGGCCCACCTCGGCGTTGTCAATTGGCCCATCAGTTTAGCTGGTAACCGGCCCATCCGTTTAGCTCGTACCCGAGCCGCCGTGAGTTATCGACTTTCAGCCTTTGACAAGTAGAGACGCCGTCTCACGATCTGGATCCTCGTTACCATGGCAACTACCGGACATCAGTTCTGGTCAGATCACAACCGTGACCTTTGGCCTGGCCTGACCTTTCCAATAACTCATCACTCAAACCGCACGATAGCCGAGCCGGAACCGAAGGACAAGCCAGGCGGCCGGAATAGATGCCCATTGCCCATTCAATGCTTAAACATTTACGGTAATGTAAGGACCGTTTATCCTGGGTATGGCCAATTATTTAATGACACTGCACATTTTTTTATGATCAATTGTGCGAAAGTAAGCCCGTGCTTATTTCCTGTCTTATTTCTACTTATGTAATCCACGCTATGTGGTTAAATGTTACTGGAGATCTGAATCAGTAAGTGACCGACGCGTCAAATGAGGACCTGCATTCATCGACGAAGTAATTTCACTAGAACATTGAAGACGGTTGTGGAGCCGATCAGAATTTACCCTTCAACTACTTTTCCGGTGGCTGGGCATTCATTCTATTTACCTTCTAGTTTTTTCTACTATTCAAGCTAGTCCGGACCCGGCCCAGCCCGGAACCGAGCGTCGGCCGCCGGATCCGGAGTCCGGAGCTCTGCGCGTGCTCATACTCCTCATAATCTATTCAAGCTACTTCATAGTGGCTAATGACATTCATTAGCCACTAGGAAAAAGAGGCAAGTGCTAAGAGCATGGGCACTTGCTGCTTTCTTGGCGTTAGCGGCGTAAAGACATCATTTTTGCAACGAGCTGGAATTGACACTATACTTCGGTGCTGGTCAAACTAAGGCACAACAGTTCGAATATGATGATATTTTGATGTTGATTCGTTTCGCCAAAAATCACCTATCCGCTTACTTTTCTTCAACGTACGTTCGGTCAATAGCTTATCATATTCTCGCTTGTATTATTCATCCACCTTCGCCGGGGCTCCGACAAATAAAAGGCGCCTATCCCGTCGTTCGGGGCGTGTCTTATCAATTTTAGAGCACCTCCTCCGAATTCGACGGCGACGAAAACATTGAAACCGTGCGCTCGACGAGCTGACTGCGCCGTGTGTTCGACGGGACAGCAGCCTGCCGGCGAGGTTAGGTGACAAAAAGGACAGGGTACAATGTCAAACGTGCAGCTGACCAAACTTTCAGCAGCTTGATGAGTTGCAGTGACATATCGACACCTTTTTTTAAACCCCACATCTGCTTTCCCGTGAATTTCCGGGAGGCACGAAAGATCTCCTTTTAAAAGTGTCCAATCGTCCGATCGTGATCAAATATGTGTGTTCGTAGGCCTGTTCTGGTATTGCTTTATCTGCCAAGACAGACAAACTTGAGAAAAATCGAGTGATTGTACCTTTTTTGAAGGTCTCTAACCAACTTGTCTGAAATTCACCGGAGAACAAATGTGGGGTTTAAAAAAAAAGGTGCCGATATGCTAGAGATAAAACACACTTCTAGTTTAGGGCAATAATATTTCATTCAGATTGAAAAAGAGTAAGAGTGCGTTGCAAAATGTTACTATGCATTACAATATAACACCTTATAACGCACGTCACACAACGAAGTACATCAAACCTGAAGTGAAAAAACATAAAGTTGTTTTTGTCTGCATCACAAAAAGTCTGTTTGTTTTTGTCTGCATCTATCAAGTCTGCATCGCAAAAATCACAATGCACACAAAAAATATCTCAGCGCTCTCTTACGAATTTCCAAAGATATTACTCAAACCTAGCATGAAATGATGCTAAGCTCTGTGCTACAAAGTGCATGCAGCAGTCCAGTTACCAGCTATACCGGCGATACCCGGGTAGGGCAAGGGTAAGGTCTCTTCCACACAGGTCTGCGGCTCAGGGGCGCTCCCAAAGTCATGCCAGCCGGGTACAATACCGACCATACAGTAAGGATCGCTGAGGCCTTCAGAGGCGGCCGCATCCGAAAGAGAGAGAGAGAGAGAGAGAGAGAGAGAGAGAGAGAGAGAGAGAGAGAGAGAGAGAGAGAGAGAGAGAGAGAGAGAGAGAGAGAGAGAGAGAGAGAGAGAGAGAGAGAGAGAGAGAGAGAGAGAGAGAGAGAGAGAGAGAGAGAGAGAGAGAGAGAGAGAGCAAAAGACGGTCAGCGTGACGTCAGCACCACAAAAGCGCTACCACATAGAGCACAAGAGAAATTCCAATAAGGAACTCATAAAAACAATCACATGGAATGGAAACAAAAGTGATTACAGCGGTCGTCAACAGTGAGCACATAAAAAGCGGCGTGAAAACGAGCTACACTTGAAACGAAATGAAAAACAACATTTACGAACGTCGCGCATTCTAACATTTGCCCAAATTAGTTCGACGCCACATTACGTAAAGCCCGCAACAATCACCACTGACGACAATGACACACATAGCTTGATTGACCACAGAGCGTTGCGAAGCTGTGATGATGTAAAGCATGCGCCATTGTCACACTTACCATCAGCATCCTTGGCCTCGAGACCGCTCGCCTCGACCACTACCAGGTTCAGGATGACTATGGGCGGCTGTAATAAATAGGGACCCAAGCAGGTCATGTCACCAAACAACGTACGCCGATAAATGAGACAAATGTGATATGAAATGAGCCCACTTCGACAGTTTTGCTGGACATGAAAAGTCTACAGCGTTTTGAATTGTACTTGGAAACGATGTCATCAAAATGCCATAGTCTGAGATATCAGAAACAGGCATTGTTGGTATGCGTGTATGTTTCGGCTCGGCGGCTTGATACAAATTGATCCGGCTAGGGGTTCTGCACGTCCATTGCAAATGACCCATGAAATGGACAAGGCCAAAGGGCCGTTATGTCTTGACTACCCAGGGGAAAAATGAGAAATGAGACAAGTCATTTTCATCTATTGAGTCCCGCTCCATCGCCCGCCATATCTGACTCTTTTCTCTGCCCTCATTGCCTCCACTTTTCCTCTCTCCATCCTGCCCATTTCCTCCCTATTCCCACCCTTCTTTTCAGGGTAAGCATGATGACGCTATTTGCGCCGGTTCAGTTCCCTGCACTTGCGCAGCCACAATGCAACCGCACTCAGGCAACCAGCATGGTACAGCAGTAAGAGCCACCATTTTGCCTTACATAATGCACTAAAAGCAATATCTTTTTATTACTGTTCAAGTGCTCAACGCTTGACGATATTACCAGATATGTGTGGGCTGTGGCGTGGATATAGCTCAGTGCAGTGGGCGTAGGTGTAAGCACAAAAATCAGTTGAAGAGCAATTACTACAAAACAAAATATGAATATAAAAGAGACTTAGTTGCAATCAACCTCAATCTTTTTTTAGTCAAAGGGAGGGCCTGTCCTCCTCTACCCACTCCTTCCCTTCCCTCTCTCCCCACCCGCGCGTGTATGCGCCGTTGTGTGACTGTGTGCGTGTCCGCCTCACTTTGCCGGGCAGTGAGGGCCGCCAATGAACCGCCAAACACTGGAGCTGCCGTGACGAGCCGTCATCAACCGTTTCCCGAGCGGCGCCACGACAAAAATGGACAATTCCAGACAGGCCATAAACGGGAACCGAACACAGCGCAACTCAGGGCGCAAACACCGCAGCATTGAGTATAACTGAACCGAAACTGAGGGGCGATGAACGGAAATATGACGCAAGCACCACGGTACGGGAACGGGGTGAGAACAGAACTAAGGCATCGGAACGGTTCTTGCCGAAGAACTCAGGGGAGTTGGAGGGCCGAAGTTGGGGACAGGAAGGCACGCAATGGGACCTCAGAGACGCCCGTTGACTGCACTGGATATAGCTTCTCAAACCCTCGGGGAGGGCGCCGTTTCGCATCAACAACAACACCCTCATCAGCAGGTGCGGCCGGGGAAATGTGATTAGGGTTCGAGCAGTTCTGAAAGAAAGGAGTGAAACAGATGAGCCCGAGCAGTGAGGGTTCGCGAAATGCGTGCTAGTTTCTGGAGAGTACGCAAAGACAGTTCCTTGCGGCACTGAGTACCTGTTCCACGACGGCTAATCGGCAAATGTTATGGGGTTGGGAGAGCCACAACCATTTACCTTCGCGCGTAAATTTGCTGAACTGAGTTATCAAGTTGGAAAAAGAAGACAACATCGCGATACCATTTTACCGTGAAATTGTTCACAGCCGCTGGCCTCTGACGAGGGAACAAAGAACTTTGCGCCACGCTCGGGCGATTGAAGTCTGCTGACAACTTTTGTGACGATGTCTTTTGCGGCGTTTGTGCGGAGTTGGAACGAGTTGCAGCGGTTTTGGGAAACGGAACTGGAGTCTCCTCGAGCTTTGAGCTCCCGTTCATGAAAATAATGTTTGTTCTTCAATTATAGCTTAAAGGAGCCTTAACCCGGCACCGCCTGGGCTATTTCCGTACCCACGACAGCCTGGGGGGGTCGGATCCGACCCCCCCCCCTGTTATCTCGAGAACCAATGGTCGTATCGAGCCCCGCGAGGCGGCGTTCGAAAGGTCTCTACGAGACCTTCCCAAAGCACTCTTAAGATTTTAAGATTGAGGTCAACTTTCGGGTCAAGGTCAGGTCAAAGGTCAAATTCAGGGGTTTTGCATGAATCGGCTTACGGACAGCGGAATCGATAGCTGCTGCTCGAAACTCACCAAAAATGACCTCAAAGGCCTAGTGAAGGTACCATGTGCGTATAGGGGTCATACTAAGTACAGGTCAAGGTCAGGTCGGGTCACGAAAGGTCACGGTTTTCACTTTCCGCTACATGGGCGTGCGACACATGTTTTATGGCTTATTTTTCACGCCGAATCCGATGGTAATGGGTATATGTGACCCCAAGTCACTGTGCTGGTGATAAGTGTGCATTGAACGCATAAAAAATCGTTTATACTATACTTAACTAAACGAGGGCTAAGAAAAAATGTCAATTTTTCAACTTTTTATTTTTGACATAAAAATGCACTTTTCTAGACGAGCTTTGTCCCAGGAATCTAGTGGTGCCATTTGTTTTCACATGCGATGTTCAGAAGTGCCTCTAATTCACGAAAATGCTTATGACGTCACCATGCCCTATGCATGTTGGAGCTATTTTTTACAATTTGGGGGTCAAAAATCAAGATAGAAAGTTGAAATTTGGGGCATCTCATGTTCTAATAGAGCTCTACAACATATATTCCGGTTTTTTGGAAAATCCCAAAATTTTGGATTTTATAAGCTGTTTTCCAAAAAATATAGTTTTTTGAATTTTTAGGGGTAAAAAACGCATTTTTATGGAAAATCCGAGATAGCCATTTTAAAGAACTCGTTGAGCTGCGTCTTTTGATGTCCTTAATTTGCAATTTGCTTCAAACCCTGATTTTTGGCGATTTTTTAAACATTTACCACTTTTTGACTAAAAACGCCATGTAGTTACATCACTAAAATCGATATATCTCAAAATTTCTTGGAATTTTTTTTTCTTAAAAATTGCACAGGAGACGTCAAATTGATGGGGGAGAAGGTATGCCAAGTTTCAAGTAGATAGCGAAAGTGTTTCATGAGTTATTCAAGAAAAACGGAGGGGGGGGGGGGTCGGATCCGACCCCCCCCCAGGCGGTCGCGGGTTAAGTTTGCAGACCTATAGCCACACCTGGATGTATCCGCATACACATCAAGCGCTGCATTAGCAGGATATCTACATGAAAACTAACAAGAAGAAAAATCATGCGAGGTTTATGCCTATCAATAACATGTCCGAAAACATGCTACGGTGTAAAACGGCCCTAACATGGAGCCGACTTCCCAGCTTTCCAGCACTTCCTCCTCCCCCATTCACTGTCAGCTGCCTCCGTCCACTTCCCGTCCCTTTGACGCCCAACGGCGCGCACCGCGTGACGGCCGTCCATTTTGGCGCCAAACGGCCGAGCGCGGCGATTCTGGCGCGGCGGCGGCGCTCACGTCTCGTCATAGAAAGCCGCCCTAATAGCATTCGATCGGCGCCGTAAAGCGTCGTGGGAGCGCGCCGGCCACCGGGGTACTGCCCCGTATTTGACGGCTGGGGTGGTCAGTAAAGGCTATCACCGCCGGTAGGTTCTGCCCCGTATTTGAAGGCACGGGTGGTCGGCAGGCGGGTACCTTCTGCCCCGTATTTGACGGCTGGGGTGGTCAGCACTCAGCACGCGGTCACCTGCCTCCGCCCCCAACGGTGGAACAGCTCGAGTACTCTAGATAAAGTTGGATAGATGCCGAGATAAGTGATGGAGAAGCAAAGGTAATAGCAATCTCAGCTAATGCTGCTCGTGGTTTCAAGCGTTTTGAGGTTCTGACAATAAATGCAGTTTGGCAACTAACATATTTTGACTCCGCCTAGCTCAATCGTCCTGCTCCTCCATCCACCCTGTTCAATATGATCATTCTACTTCCACTGAATATCCACACTGCCCACTCAACCCACCCCTCCCATCTCCACATCTTATGTCGCTTGGGTGATCTCTCCCTCCTCTTTTTCACCCTCTTTCTTACTCTGCTTCGCTCCTCTCTCTTCATCTGGTTCACTCTCTTCCTCTCAGCTATAAGATAACCTTTTCGATTTTCCCCTTCTACTTCTTCCGTTCCCTATCCCAAAATATTTTTTTTCCTCTCTCTCTCTCTCTCTCTCTCTCTCTCTCTCTCTCTCTCTCTCTCTCTCTCTCTCTCTCTCTCTCTCTCTCTTTCTATCCGCTCCCCTTCCCCTTTCCTCCTCCTCACCTTCTCATCACTGGCGATGGTCATCATCCTCTGGTGCTCGTCCCGGGAGAAGTGGAACGCCTCCTGCGTGTAGTCGTTCAGCTCGTCCACCAGCGACGAGTGCTCAGACGTGGTCGCCCCCACCTTGTGCTTCACCGTGTACAGCACCTCCACGTACAGGTTCTCACGCTGCAACAGACGGAGCGGGGTCAGTGGCGGGTCCAGGGAGGCGGTCTTGGATGATGCTGGGCATTTCTACCCTGAAAATTTTATCCGAATTCCAAAAACTCTGCCACTACCGACCTCTTATGCGCTTTCATGCAGTTTTAATGATTTAAAAAAGAGATGCTGTTTGGTTTTCATTCAAAGCGGTAAATTTTCATCGATTTCGGGCAGGGTGGAGATTCAATCTTTTCCCCGATTGAATCTCCCCCAGAGTCTGCCAGTGAGCGTGAAGTTGTTGATCGCAGTCTCGACATCAGCAGCTATCGATTCGAAGAGGCGGTTCGGCGCCCTGTCGCCGGCGATAGCGGATTACCGGAGGAGCTTAGCGCGGCGTCACGGGACTCGGAGGAATCAGCTCCGGGATTATACCCAGTGTTTACCATAGTTGGCAACTTGTTTGGATGTGCCTACAATAGTTGGCTAATTCTGTTGTTTCAGGTACTCTCAGTGATTAAGCAGCAAAGTAGGCCTGCTTCCAGGGAATGTAAAAGGAAAGCCGCTGGGATAAAGCATTGCGCAAGTTTCTGACAACTATACATTCCCTACAGATTCGAGAAGTCTTTCGTTTTTTTTAACACCCATTCCCAACGCAGGAAGCCCTAACAATTAAATGAGCTGCGGAAGTACGCTCATTGCTTGGCATAACATACCCACTACCCAGGCTATTATGCCCCGCTTACAAAGGAAACCATTTTTTACATTATAAAAATCACAAAGATCAAATTGGGAAAACCATGAAACAGTATCTGCAAAAACAACACAGATTTAAGCAAAAGAGCCCAGCTCTCTGTCTCTTCTGTGCAGGCACTGCAACACAAACTTTTCAAAGGAAAATTGGCCTGCTGGCAACTGCATAAAGAGGTTCAGTACATCTTTGACATATCTACACATTTCTAATTATTATTTCTGCTGTTACTACAGGGAAGCACAACCTTTCAAGAGGAGAAAGTAGGTACTTATTGCCATTCATTATTTATCTAGTGATGCTTTATGTTCACATATTTTACAGCGGTATTTTGCTACTGACATCGGCAACATGATCCAAGCGCATTCCAAGTACTCGTATAAATCGATCATATGGGCATCAAGCCCAACAGTCAACTACTCCGTTACCCGGCCTACATAAACCTTCATTGAGCTTTATGATGGCAATATTTTCGTTGTTCACCCTATGAATGCAAACTCTATTCAACTGTGAAGGTTACCTCATAGGCAGGCACCCTTCCACCCAATTTAGAACCATATTCCAGTCAATCAAATTCTAAACTCTGCCATGCGAGAAACTCTTAGCGAAATGTCTGGTTTAGAGCTGAGAGAATGGCGCGATCATTTCCCAGTCGTAGCACCGGGGAACGGCCTGTGCTGCAACAAAACTGTCGACTCCTGAGAAGTGGGGTCGTATGATTGAATTTCCTAGCAGTCAAACTTGTGAGAGCTCATAAGTGACACATGAGTGGTGCCAGCGGCGACTTTTGGACCACATAAAGGGATTTGATCGAGTATCATTCGACTGCTGAAACCAGGCCCTGTATGGAAGCATGTCAACTTCAAACGACAGTACCCCGCTTTATCGACACTGATTACAGAAATAAATATTGAATGGCTCCCAGTCTGTCTCAAACAATCACCGCACAACTTGGTCATATCGCTCAATGACCCATCCATTTCCTTCGTTTCACTTCACCTTCCTTCAACTCCTGGTCAGTGGTCACCCGCACCCACTGTTGGATCCAGCCAGCTGTCCAGGAGGGAACGGGGTAGAGACAAACCCCAAGCCACCAGCGTACTGTTTAAAGCCTATCCAAGGGGCATATTTGTTATAACGCTCCACTACTGATCCCGCCATTGGCCTCACTCCCTTCCCATTAAAGTCGCATGAGTTAGTAATCCATGCTTTCATTACTTTTTTCCTCTCTTCCTTTTTCCCTTCTTTTTATCCCTGGGGCATTCCACGATAGATCGTACCAGGCCCGTCACCCTCATCTCTCGGATTTTAATGAAAATCGGTCCTAGGGGTAATCATAGGCCCCAAAGACGCCTGGCAAAATATCAGACTTCTCAGATCAAAACTTTTTGAGTTATATTGCATTACATTTTTTTAACTTCGGTATGTAACGGTGAGTTTGATGGCCTATAACTCAAGAACGGGTTAAGCAACCAACAAAAAGTAAACAACACTAAGCTTGCAATGAATCAAAAATTAATATTACTATTTAAAAATTCCAAAGAAAAAATTTCATTGTTGAGCAAAAACCTTAATTTTTTTTTCATTTGCCTCTAATGACTTTTGGGACCAAAATTTTTCACATTTTTATTTTTTCAAAATAATCTTTATGTCATTGCAAATCGACATGCAAAAAATTAGAAAGGTGTTCTTTCTATAAGTTCCTCATTTTCCCGCAAACAAAATGGGTTTCGGAGGGGTTGATCCGACCCCAGCACGCCGTTTCGCTTCTAATAGAGCTAGAGCCTCGCGGAAAAAAACGGGCGTGTGTGCCGTTACAAGTCGCAGCGATTGGTACCCGATTTTAAGGTCTCAGGTTAACCGGTAGCGTCTGAGGTCAGGTCACGTGACTGAAGTTACGGGTTCGGTTTTTAGTAAATAACTTCGCAAAAAATGGCCGCAGAGCCGCGATTTTGGCATCATTGTGTTCGCCTAGCTCAGGTGCATCGAATGGTATACTTTTTGCTAGGGTGAGGTCAACTTTAGTAGTTGACCTCGGGTCAAGGTCAGGTCAGAGCCCCTCAGGTCACGAAGCTGGGCAAAGGGTATCATATGGCATATCATTCGATTCGGAAGGTCTTCCCGAGTCCATTGGTGGCTTTCCCGACTCTCTAGCTCTATTTGATCGGGAGTTATTGACGAAAAACTCGTACGACCCTAGTGACTTCATAAATGACGTCACGCAAGATTAGCAATGCAAAAGTAAAGCATTGGACTTTGCAAGGAGGGCATGAAATCACGATACCATGTACGTGGGATAGTTTTAGATCATTCTCGGCGCCAAAATAACAGTTTTTATATTTCCCCATTGATTTATAACAGTGATGTCACGTAACCGACCTGATCTCATGTAACCTTGAAAAATTCCCAGATATACAAGTTGTGAGACCTCTGGAGGACACCATGTATGCGTCCTGTAACTTTCATCTCGGACAGCTATGGTCATTGGCGTCCCAAACAATGTCAGAACCAAACAGCCTTTTTCACCCTTGCGCTTATAGGATAGAGGGTTGAATGAACCCTCTTTTAACTTTTTTTCAGATGACTGAGACTTGAATTGAAATTTCAGTAACCCGTGATGTCACTAGGCACTTTTACCACGCCATTTGTAAGCTCCCCTCCCGAATCACTATTCGAAACCGTTATCGTGACGTAAAATAAATACATTTATAGAAAGAACACCTTCCTAATTTTTCGCATACTTCTTAACAATGAGCCAAATATCTTTTTAAAGAAATAAAAATTCAAAAAAATTTGGTCCCAAAGTCCAAAAAAATACAAATGAAAGAAAACTCGATATGTCATATATCAAAAATAGCGTATTTTTCGCAATTTCAAAAATACATATTAATCTCTGTTTCATTGCAAGTTCAATGTTATATAACATTTGGCATTTGAATAATCCGTCTTAGAGTTACAGCCCGCCAAACTTAGCGCTGCAAAGCAAGATCCAAAAAATGTTATACACCATAACTCAAAAAATACTTATCTGATAAGCCTGAAATTGTTACAGGTGGATTCAGAGCCCCTGATTACCCCTGAGACCAATTCTCGTCAAATTCCGAGAGATGAGGGTGTAAAATTGGAAAAAAGTGGTACGATCTATCGTGGAATGCCCCCCCTACCTCCCTGGTTCCCTCACCTCCTGCTGGCTGACCACCAACCTCTTAGGCTGAAGGCCGGCGGCTACCCCCTCCTCCCCGGTCCGCTGCCTGTCACGGCAGGCTCGCTTCCCTTCCCTCACCTCCTGCTGGCTGACCACGACCCTCTTTGGCTGGAGGCCGGCGGCCGCCTCGCTGGGTGGCGGACGGTCCTTCTGCTCCTCCTCTTCCTTTAGACTCTGCATCCGGCGGTTCTCCTGTCGCCATGGCAACGACGCAAACGCCTCGAAAAACGAGCCGTCCGTCTCCTGAACTCTGGAAAGCAGAACAGACAAGACGTTAACAGATGCTGACAGACGCAAAGTGCAAATAGTTTGTGAATAGTTTGAAAGAGTAGGACAAGTTGTGTTACGTCAGATATCGTTAAAAGTTGGGACAAAGGGGCGGAAGCTGATAACAGTGATAAGTAGCTCGTTCACTCTGTTGGAGGCAAGCTAACTCACTGAGGGTTCTCATTCAGTGTACTCACCACAGCTTGGGCATGATAGGATATATGTAGCTGCCCCTCTGCATGCAAATCGACGAAATTTTACCTTTTTTAGAATATAAACAAATGAACGAGTTTCATATGAAAAAGTTCGCTTTTGGCTGAACAGCAGCTAATAAGGAATCAAAATGCGAAAAGTTGTTGGAGTTCGGAGATTTTCAGGGAGGATATGCTCCCCTTTCGCAGCCTCAAAGACCGCCTTTCTGGATCCGCCAGTGATTCACCCAGTGGCTGACTTGGCAGAGCCCCAGCCCCCAGGCATTCAGATCATACAGCATGGGACGCCTGGCGATCGGACGGACTGCTTTTGACAAGAGTGTAGCCTAACCAATAACCAGCTAAAGTTCATAGGTCATGAGTTCAGAAGAGCTAATAAGCGGGAGTAGTTATATGACCGTATGGGTGAGCTGACCTTTGATACCAAATCCTCTAGAGACACTGGTCCATAGAGCCGGTGGAGAGGTCAGGAGAGGCCAGGGGTCAGGTCATACACAAATTATGCACGTCCCTTGGTTGAAATCCCACAATTTGCCCATGTTTAACATTCAAAGAAAATGCATGACTTTATGACTGAATTTCAAATGATGCAGAGAACTGGGAAACAGTGAATAGCCGCAGTTGCTTGATTGCATTATTATTTATGAATGCCTTGCCGGCTGCCCGGCTGCCCTGCTGCCAGTGCGGTGTTTCGGCCGCCGAGCCGAGGGTAGTTTGTGCCGCTGCCACTAGATGCCACTAGCGTCCAGCGCGGCTGTATACTGTGCCGCAATACATGCCAGCCCGGCGGCACAGCATCATCCAGCCGGTAAACGTTCGCTAGGATTTATGCATAGTTGATTTTCGTCATTACCCTACAGCTTAGCTCCTTAGTGACGACAGCTGATTAAAGCCAGCTGATGACGACAGCATTAAAAATGCCTGATTTTAAATGACTTGCCGTATCATTCTATTCACCATTCACGCACGCAGCAGCGCGATCGATACGCACGGGAAAATACGGATAAGCCGTGAAAGGCAGCAGCGCGAGCGATGACTGATGGCTGATGCGTAATGACTGAACCATTTATGGTCTATCTGCACGGGTCTGTACTTAGTCCTTGGACATTGATGGCTCTCAGAGAACCATTTCCATTTTGTTGTACTTTGTGGACTGCAAATTAAAGGGAGATAATGACCTTTTTCCACAAAATCTGAGTTAGGATCATTTTCTGACAAAACACAACAAGTTATAATGTAAATTAAAACCATTTTGCTCAATGCGGTACCTTGCCGCAAATATCTCAACTTGAAGTCACGTTAGCGAGGAGCGCTGAAAATGACCGTTGAATAAGTACTTACATCACTTTTTGGTACTTGCATGTAATTTTGTAAAATGAGCGTATTCCTTACATTTGATCTTCATCACATCTAGTTAGTTAATGGTCGTCTATAGTGCCTTCAAAAGATATTCATGGTTTGGGGGTGGTTTATGTCTAAATTTACGCAACTATTTTTCCTGTTCATCATCTGAGGCCATATGCTGCTATTTTAGTAGCAACGACTCAATTTTGAATCGGTCCCGCCGACTGCACAATAAAAGAAGATAGATACAACACTTTTGCGGCATCACTGAAAAACTTATGCAGTACTGTTATCAAAATTCTCATAACACCGTTCGACAAACCTGAAGTCTTTTTGAAATAAATATGCTTGTATTTTTCGCTTCAGGCTCTGAGGCCAAAATAATGAATTTCGTAGTCGCAATCGCAAGATTTGGCTGCGTTTCTGGCGCATGCCGTTCATTTGTGGCGCAAAATAATACTTGGAAACAAAGAAGAGTAGGCACTATGTACGAATCTAATTAATTCTAAACCGAATTAACTCTAATTCAAATTAGAATCCTTACAACCAAGCAACGACAAGGCGATAACATAAACAAAAACCCAAGCGTCGCCGTTTGAAACAAAAGCGCCATATACTGCGACTTTTTTATAGAGAAGGACAAGAAGGACAACGCATTTCGGTGGGTGTTACAAGTACTGCAAGTACTGCTTCTTTTTTGCAAAAATAAAAACCTTTTTCACATACGAAAATGTGCTAGGAAATTTTCATATTTTATAGAAACTACAGTAGAAATAGTATAGATGTCGAGTAATTTTTATTAAAGAAAAAAGAAAGCTCATTATCTCCCTTTAAGGTCTGTTGAATTCCGTAGCATAAGTTTATTTGCTTGCAAGCGGCATTTAAGATTTGAGTATTGCAATGTGAAAAATACCAAAACTAAATCGTCATTTATTCATTTCATTTGCTACTTGTTTATTTAGTTCATTCATTTCCAAATTTTTTGTCAACTTTTTCGTATGTTTAAGCTAAGCTTCAAGGGTACCGGCGAAACGTCCCTTTCTTACTTATATGCTTGGCATTTTTGAACATCAGACATACGGGCGTTAAAGGAAAACATTTGTGTCATATAGTCTCTGCCTCAACCTCTCAACAACCAATGTGACAGAAGACCTGTTCATTAAAATGACACTACTTTGACAGAGATGTAGTGCACTTATTGATCACGATGTGGGTACACATTGCATTGGACACCAGCTACAACAGCACATTGAAGCACCTAATTAGTTCAGACGGGCCAAACAAAACAAGAGCTCCACATCAAATCAATACACCACGAGCAAGAGTCGTATTTATAACCCTCATGTTCCCATTACCAAACCCCGACTCCCGAACCATATTAATGAGTTACACAAACACACGCTTTTATGCAGCAGAGCGCCAGGGCAGCCACATCGCAAACATCGCCACTCCAATCTGATCACAAGCCAATCCACTCCAATCCCCGGCTTTCAAATCACACTCGCTCTGTGAAAGCGCCGGACGGTCGGCCGCCGACCAGGTCATATTGAGTGAGGTCTGATCGACAGCTCAAGGGCTCATTGTAGCGTGACGGTATCGATTTCAGGTGACGGAGGACGGCCTGCAAACTTACGACGGCGTGACTGACTGCCGCGCCTCAGCGACTCAATGATTAAAATGGCGTCTTCCCAGAGCCATCGTTTCATTAAAATCCCTCGCTGGTGATTGAAAATGAGCAGGGTAATTTGAAGACGCTTCACGCCGTAAAAGGTCAGCTTTTAATTGAATGATAATTAATTTAAAGAGAAAATAAGGAGAGAGAGAGAGAGAGAGAGAGAGAGAGAGAGAGAGAGAGAGAGAGAGAGAGAGAGAGAGAGAGAGAGAGAGAGAGAGAGAGAGAGAGAGAGAGAGAGAGAGAGAGAGAAATAGGGAGAGAGAGAGTAGGTTGTGCAAAGTAACGAAATGAAATCAAGACTAGCTATCATATCTTCATTTCAATTGACTTGATGCATTTATTCAGTTTGATGAAAGCACTATTACGAATATTACGAACATAATTTAATGTCAAGTGCCAAAGATAACATGAAATTATTCATGATATCTATGCAAATGCCAATCAATACAAGCTGTTTTTGACAATACAGTGTCATGTTTAATAATGCTAGCATTTACAAACCCTTTAGCATCAGCAGCCAATTAGTCCACCAAAACACACCATCTTATAAAAAGTGAACAAAAAGTGAAGAAACACCCTAAAAACTCACGCATAAAACGTCCCAAAAAGTGACACCGTACCAAATATTCGCACAACCTACTTGGATCTGGACACCATATCGGCGTGGATCTCCAGTTTCCTGCGGGATCCTCGTGTGGCCAGCATGGTGACCGCTCGGCTCACTGCAGTGTCCTGTGTATGTGACCGTCGCCAGTGCACCGATCGATAACCACTTATCCGGCCATATGGGCCCACACCGCCGCGCTGCGCTCTGCACCGTGCCCACGACCAAAGTTCGGCGCAAACCACCGGCACACTGGCTCCCTCGCCGCTGCTTTCCGATCAGGGCGGTGATTCTCGGCAGCTCAGAGAGCCAACTCAGCCTCTAACGAGCGGCTCTGTAGTCGCCGGGGCGGACGGGCGGAGCCGGGCGCTACTGGCTCTTCTCTTGCCCCGGGGGCTGCGGGGCGGGCCAGCAGCCGGGCTGCCGGCCCCGTACGGTCTCCCGCATAGAGACCCCGAGCGGGTGGGCGGGGTAAAACACTTGTTGGCCCAGTTGTGGCGGAAGCGGTGGTCGTTGTAGGGATTCCCGGATTACTGTTCTGAGTGACAAAACATGGGTTTGGTCAGAGCTGATAAATTGGCTCTGAAACTCAATACTGAGAGCGCACAGGAAAGGCTGCGAGCGTCTGAAATCATACTTGACTGAGAAGGGCAGAGAAGCCGAATTCATCGACATTAATATAACAAACATCAAGTCATTATTGCAGTAGGTTAAAAAAATAGCTACGCTTAGCTTAGCTATAACTTCTAGTGGTAAAACATTATTACAGTCCATGAAAGATCGAGCTGATGCTACGGCAAATTGCACAACTTGTTCAGGACTCAAGACTTCCAATCAGGCTATTCCGGGTAGACGAGTTCATTCAGATGATGAGGTCTGAGCCTGGGGACTCGTGTTTCCAGACAGGAAGCTCCTGTCGGACAACATGGCTCAATATAGCGTGTAACATGAACACTGTGCGCTGATCGCAGATCATTTCATCAAACTGAAACGATCATCTGACATCAGCGTATTATAGCGAAGCTATCATCATTGACATGCATCATATCAGCGAGGCATCAAGTAGACATGCAAAGGCAGTCAGTAATCTTCGTAGCACATGATGAAAATCTAGTTGCACTAGTAGTTACCTCGCTAATATAAGAAAGTGATCTTTAGTTTTATACCGTTGCATTTTGAAGGTTATTGTTATATTATGATAAGCATGTACAGCCCTCAGCAGACTGCGTGGTAGGCATTCTTTTTTCGACAAAACCGGTGATAACTCAAAGGCTATGTTATCAGTCGGTCGGAACTCACTGCAAATAGATGCGCCATGCTCCACTTCTTCGATTAGGTCTATCACTAGACAAAGTATACGCCTTGTGTGGCAGCAAAATGCAAAAGTCTGTTTTGGGGGCAAATATAAACTTTTGGATTTTGTTGCCAAACTGGATAGAAAATGAACACGATGATAATGCCAATCTAAGGTGCGAAGTCTCGCGCGTCATGCTGTTACGATTTCCGAGTGACCGATGGCATAGTATTCGCGTTATTCTCGGTTTTGTCGAAAAAAGAATACCTACCACGCAGTTTGCAGAGGGCTGTACATACATACTGTTATTTTTTTCTGCCTATATTCAAAACCCAATGCATACACGTATAATGTTTGTTATCATCCGGATCCGATCAATCGATGTGAAAGCAAACACTTTCTGACGCTACAAAATTAAACCAAATTGGTTTAAAAAATATGAAATTCAATACATCCGTTCTGCTAAAAAAAAAACAAGCCTGGGTTCCAAAGTAGTAATTGAATCACCCTCATATAATTAGATAAATAAAAGAAGTTGACCTTTTCCTCGACATCAAAAATGTAAAAAGCCGAATAATATATTTTAAAAAACGGTGAGCTTTCGGCCACTGGCCTTTATCAAACCAACGTGATAACAATGTTCACGTTGGTTTGATAAAGGCCAGTGGCCGAAAGCTCACCGTTTTTTAAAATATATTATTCGGCTTTTTACATTTTTGATGTCGAGGAAAAGGTCAACTTCTTTTATTTATCTAATTATATTCAATATGTTCCTCGCTCGAGCACTTAGTAATATTACCAATTTGAATCACCCTCGTTTCATCTCAAAACAATTTGTCGCTTATAAAAGCATCCCTCAATTCATCAAACGAAGTTGAACCACAAATTGCTTCTAAATTCGGTGCGTGGCCCGTGCGTCCCGCTCCAATCTAGCGCTCCTCAATGGAGCCTCGGTCGCGTCTCCGTCCGGTCGCCGTCTCCGTCTCCGCGGAGATCACTTCCGGCCCGGCGCAATCTGGTGCCGCAAACAAGCGCCCACTCTAATCAGGGCTTAGTGACGGCGCCGGCCGCCGCCGCAGCCCGGCGGTCGAGGCTCACTCCGCCCGCCCGAGCTGTCAAAGCTCGAGGGGCGGAGCCGTGTCCGGGGTGTCTCTGTCAGAGGCTGTACTGCGGCCGCCACGCACGCCACCCTGGCGCCAGGGGGAGGGGGCGGGGTCGCCCACAGGGGGCGGGGCGGGGCGGCCGTTTGACGCGCTCATTTTCCCCAGGAGATAAGGCTTGAGGGGGCGGGGGAAGGAGAGGGCGGATACGCTCCGGCATGCACGATGGACGGAAGAGCGTACTAAACGGCCCGGAAATGGGATGTGATGGGTGCCGCGTGCCCCATAGACTACGTCGACTAATAGTTACCTTTAGCATTATGATGTCATCAATCATCATGCATCGTAATTCGTAATGCATGAAGAGTTATTGTCAATGCTTGTATAAGTATGACAAACATAATTCATTCGTTTCTTCGTAATTTACTTCGTGATATCAATATATCAATAAATATGATACGACAGCCCTGTCATTGATGGCGTCATCGTACGCCCTTTACAGAGGTCATCCAAGGCTGTCGTAACCAATTCGTGTAGGTAGTTTGAGCCTGCCTATTGGTAATAATGATCAACTCGTGGAAGTAAAGACACTAAAAAGGATGTTGTTATTCAGCTGCCTCTATGTAGTAGATCCCAACATGGACGCGACTTTTGTGAGTCATGATATGCCATGAGCTTTGAAATAAGTGAAAATATATAAGAAATTTACATAATTGTTTGCATATATCAAAGAGACGTTGACTAACCTCTTGCTAGGCTAACGGTGAGATTATATGTGCTTTTCCTTTCCACAAGTTCAAAATATTGATTATTTGGCTCTCAATCATAGCTACGTTGATGTAAGTTTCATTATATAATAATTCCAATATTCTCCGAATGCTCTTTTTGTTGTCGCTCGTTACATAAGTCATATATAAGATAAAACCCATTGACCCAATTAGCAGCAGTTTCACATCGATCTTTGCAGTGCTCACTGCAAGGCAAAAGGGGAAGGCATGCTCACATTATACGCCATCCCCCTAGGCAGAACACCACATAAATGCCTACATGTGATCGATTTATAACGCTTGCCAAGCACTCCAGTGTGCCCTGCCTGTCATATAAAGTGACGTTGATTGGAGCCTTTAACAGTTTATCTGCACAGGCCGCCCGTAACGTTGGACAAAGTTCGGTGAAGCACAATTACCATCGGCCTTATGTCATACGAAGTTTATTGTACGCTATAGGGAAGAGGCTCGAGTGCAGGCATGTTGAGTCAATGCTGGCAGCCATAGAAGGCCTAGAAAGTTTTTCACTTTGAGCCACAACTTGGTGATAAGTGGTGTTCTTGATTTCAAAGGGTTTGATAATTTGATCCTTTCTTTTCTTTGTGGACGATTTTCTGCTTTGATTCAAGAAAAATGCATAGTATGGGAAGGATGCTAATTTTGCTTGGTAGCAAATGCAACCGTCATCATTCGTTTTTATTTTTACTTTCATTCAACTTCAACGCGTATTTTATGCTCTCTCTCTATTTCTCTCTCTCTCTCTCTCTCTCTCTCTCTCTCTCTCTCTCTCTCTCTCTCTCTCTCTCTCCTCTCTATCTCCCTCACTCTCTCGCGCGCTCTCTCTCCCCTCCTCCCCCTCTCTCTTGTTTTCGCTCTGTCTCTGTCTCTGTCTCTGTCTGTCTGTCTGTCTGTCTCTGTCTCTGTCTGTGTGTGTGTCTGTCTGTCTGTATCCCCCCTCTCTCTCTCCCTCCCTCTCTCTCTCTCTCTCTCTCTCTCTCTCTCTCTCTCTCTCTCTCTCTCTCTCTCTCTCTCTCTCTCTCTCTCTCTCTCTCTCTAATATTCGCTCACCTGCACACCCGCCCAGATATTCTGTATCGACCGAGGTCACCTTTGCCAGGTCAGTCGGCTCCCTGTGCGGCCACTCGCCGCCTCCACCGGGGAGCTGTCGCCGTCAGCTGTACCGACACCCGCCCCATTTGCTGTCCCACAGCACCACATCCCCTGGGCGGGACGGGCATTACATTGGAGCCACTGAAGCAGAGCAGTCGTCTGAGTGCATACTCGTATGTGCTGGACGGGTAGTGAAGTGAGGACATTTGCACTGGACCAGAGCACCCGTTAGTGTGCATATAGACTGGACAGTGGGCAGGCACTGGAGCCACTGGCCCAAGGGCAGCCGTCTCGGTGTGCATACTTCATATGCGAGTATGTTGGACGCGTATGCTGGACATTGGAGCCACTGGCCAGTGTCGATACGGGCTAGACCGGCACCAGTCCCAAATTAGATCCGTCAGGCGCAGAGTCGTGCTTCCATCATAGTGGACTAGCAGTCTTGATTCCCTGCGGTTGAATCCGAAGTCCGGAGAAGTCCGGTGGTGCAACGCGCTGCATTCCTTTTAAATACCTATTACAAAAAGCCCTCCACCAAAGTGGCGTTTAACGGGAAGACTTTGGGTGAAGTTAAAACAGCGCCGGTTTCAGAGCTTCTTGCAACTTACCCATAGGTCTATCAAACAAGTCTTCCGCAGCAGTATAGGGCAACTCCTCCCCTTTGAGGCTAATCCTAAATATGCTGTCCCTATCACCCAGCGCACATTAGCGTTTCTATGCCGGCGAGAAACGCTGATGTACCGGAGTCACGTTTTGTACCGGAGTCATACTCTATACCGGAGTCACGTTCTATATTGGAGTCATGCTCTGTACCGGAGTCACGTTTTGTACTGGAGTCACGCTCTGTACCTGAGTACCATGTGCCCTGTACCGGAGTCACGCTCTGTACATGAGTCATGCCCCGCACCGGAGTCATGCCCTACATCGAAGTCACACAAAGCAGTCGCCCTGAGTGACAGCGGCGGTCCCCGTCCGCCGGTGTGAGCGGTCACCAGGTCGATATCCCGGTCACGCCATGTTCTGTTGGCGGTCCGCCGCGCCGCGGGCCACTAATAAAATAACCAGTGTGTCCCGGGTAGGCGGAACGCCCCCGCCGCGCGGTGTGC